CCCCCACCACATCTTCCAGCTCCCCCAACTCTCACTCTTCCCTCCCATCTCCTCGCCCCCCCCCGACCCTCCCCATCTCATCCTCCCCTCCACCCCCTCCCATCACCAAACTTCCCCCCCCCCCTCTTTTCGTCCCTCCCATACCCATCTCCCCCACCCCCAGCATCACCCCCGCTCTCTTTACCCCCCCCCCTCTCCCGCCTCTCTCTCAATCTCACTCCCCCTTCACCACCCCGCCCCCTCCCTCCCCTTACCCCCTCGCTCCCCCCCCCCCCCACTCCGAGGTGTCCCCCGTGCCGCGGCTCCCAGCCGGGCTCAGGTGCGCGCCGCGCCGCAGGAGCCATGATCCCCTCTCACGCCGCCACCAGCAGGGCCAATGGCTTCGCCCCTCGCTACTCACCGGGACAGAACCCCCCCGCACGGGGCTCCTCTTCGGGGAACGCCGAGCTCATACTGCTCAGAGACACGCAAGCACCGCCACCGCCATCGCCATCATCAGCAGCAGCAGCACCGCCCGCCGTATCCGACGCTCTTCTTCTCGAGTCTCGAGGTGCCGCGCTGAGTCGCGACCCCGCGGCGCCGCCGGGCAGCGCTGGGGAAGCTCCGCGAGACACGTGGGGGAGGAAGGTGGACTTCCTGCTGTCCGTCGTCGGCTTCGCCGTGGACCTGGGCAACGTGTGGCGGTTCCCTTACGTGTGCTACCAGAACGGTGGAGGTGCGCTCCGGAACACGTGTCTGTGTGCGTGCGTGCGTGACTGTGTGTGTCTGCGTGCGTGCGTGCGTGTGTCTGTGTGTCTGTGTGTGTGCGTGTGTGTGTGCGTGCGTGTGCGTCTGTGTGTGCGTGTGTGTCTGTGTGTATGTGTGTGTGCGTGCGTGTGCGTCTGTGTGTGCGTGTATGTCTGTGTGTGTGTATGCGTGTGTCTTTGTATGTGCATCTGTGTGTGTCTGTGTGTATATGTGTGTATGCGTGTGTCTGTAAATGTGCATCTGTGTGTGTGTCTGTATGTGTGTGCATGTGTGTGTCTGTGTATGTGCATCTGTGTGTGTCTGTGTGTGTGTCTGTGTGTGTGCATGTGTGTGTCTGTGTATGTGCATCTGTGTGTGTGTGTCTGTATGTGTGTGAATGCGTGTCTGTGTGTGTCTGTGTATGTGTATGTCTGTGTGTGCATCTGTGTGTGTGTGTATCTGTATGTGTCTGTGTGTGTTATGGGGAGCGGTGGTGTAGCGGTTAGCGCGCTGGGCTACGAACCTGACGCACCGAGTTCGATTCCCGCTCACGGCCAACACCAGTGACGACTATCTGAACCGGTCCTGGGCCTCCCGTAGGTCGACTCAGTCTCAAATTATTGCCTAGTACGATGTGTAAATATCGCCACTAGGGAGACAAAGGCGGCCAGGCGTGGTGCTGGCCACCCACCCCTTCGTGTGCCGTTCCGGCCTTGCTGCTCGCTAAAAGCACTTGCCCCAACAGTCTGCTACAGGCTACACGGGGGATCTTCGTGTTATGGGGAGCGGTGGCGCAGTGGTTAGCGTGCTACGCTACGAACCAGAGGTCGCAAACGGGTTTTGATTCCTTACCCGTACCCGGCCGCACCAGGGTCGCAAACGGGTACCCGTACCCGGCCGTACCCGTACCCTAGCCGTACCCGGCCGGGTAGGGTACGGGTACGGCCGGGTACCTGATTGCGACCTCTGGGATGAAGCCATGTTGCAGGCGCGGGTGGGTTGATTCTCGGAACTTGAATTGTGAGAAGAGACAAGACGTTGGGAAATGAATGACAAACAGTTACTCACCAGTGACTCACAGTCTACCCGTACCCAGGGTCGCAAACGGGTACCCGTGTGCTGTGTGTATGCTGTGTGTATGCTGTGTGTATGCTGTGTGTACGCTGTGTGTGTGCTGTGTGTGTACGATGTGTGTGTGCTGTGTGTATGCTGTGTGTACGCTGTGTGTGTGCTGTGTGTGTGCTGTGTGTGCTGTGTGTACGCTGTGTGTACGCTGTGTGTACGCTGTGTGTGCGCTGTGTGTACGCTGTGTGTACGCTGTGTGTACGATGTGTGTACGATGTGTATGTGCAGTGTGTGTGCGCACGCTGCCGTCTTTACTTGAGCGTCATTCAACATTGTTATGTTAAATTGTTGCTACATTTATCTAAACTTTGTTAAATGTAAAATGTTAAAAACTCTGTACGCTTTAAATGTCTCGATGTAACCCAGCACGGTTGGCTGCGAGCGGTGCGAAATAAGTTTAACACACACACAAACACACACCACAAACACACACACACAAACCACACACAAACACACACACACACAACACACACAAACACACACAAACACACACAAACACACACAAACACACACACAAACACACACACACACACACACACACAACACACAAACACACACACACAAACACACACAAACACCACACACACACAAACAAACCACACACAAACACACACAAACACACACACAAACACACACACACACAACACACACACACACAAACACAAACACACAAACAACACACACACACAAACACACCACACACAAACACACACACAAACACACCCAAACACACACACACACAAACACCACACACACAAACACACACACAACACACCACACAATCACACACAAACACACACACAAACACACACACAAACACACAAACAAACACACAAACAAACACACACAAACCACACACAAACACACACACACACACACACACACACACAAACACACACACTAACACACACAAACACACACACAAACAAACACACACAAACACACACACACAAACACACACAAAACACACACACAAACACACAACACACAAACACAAAACACCACACACAACACAACACACACACAAACACACACACAAACACACACACACAAACACACAAACACACACACACAAACACAAACACACACAAACACACACACAAAACACACACACAACACACACACACAAACACACACAAACACACAAAACACACACACACACACAAACACACACACAAACACACACAAACACACACACACAAACAACACACACACACACACACACACAAACACACACACACAAACACACACACCACAAACACACACACAAACACACACACACACTAACACAAACACACACACAGGTCGCCCTGACAGCAGACCGTCGTGTTCTTAACCTTTCTGGGGATCATTGAGTGTCCGGGCTAATGAACATGACGCGGGACGACTGACGAGTAGGGGGGGGGGCACAAGGGCGAGGGGGGCACTGGCACTTGGAATCGCCACGAGTCGTCGACTCCGGGAGCACGTGACCGCGTTTGGCGTGCGGCGCGCGCGTCCGCCTTTGTCTTCCCCAACCCCGTAATGTCCACGAGGCGTGTCGGGCTACTCGTTTAGGGCCGAGTGTACCTAACGGTGGCCCACGCGAGGTTGAACCGCCGATCGCCACCGACAAAGAGTGTGTGTGAGTGCACGCATCACCACGACACGAGTGTGTGAGTGTGTGTGTTGTGTGTGAGTGTGTGTGTTAGTGTGTGAGTGAGTGTGTGAGTGTGTGTGAGTGTATGTGAGTGTGTGTGTGAGTGTGTGAATGAGTGTGAAAGTGTGAGAGTGTGAGTGCGTGAGAGTGAATGAGTGTGAGTGGGGAGAGTGAGTGAGTGGGAGTGTGAGAGTGTGTGAGTGTGAGTGAGTGTAAGAGTGTGAGTGCGTGAGAGTGAGTGAGTGTGAGAGTGTGAGTGAGTGTGTTAGTGTGTGAGTATGTGAGTGAGTGTGTGAGTGAGTGAGTGTGTGAGTGAGTGAGTGTGTGAATGAGTGTGTTAGTGTGTGTGAGTATGTGTGTGTGTGAGTGTGTGTGTGTGAGTGTGTGAGTGAGTGAGTGTGTGAGTGTGTGTGAGTGAGTATGTGTGAGTGTGTGGTGTGTGTGAGTGTGTGAGTGAGTATGTGAATGAGTGTGAAAGTGTGAGAGTGTGAGTGCGTGAGAGTGAATGAGTGTGAGTGGGGGAGAGTGTGAGAGTGTGAGTGGGAGTGTGAGAGTGTGTGAGTGTGAGTGAGTGTAAGAGTGTGAGTGCGTGAGAGTGAATGAGTGTGAGAGTGTGAGTGAGTGTGTTAGTGTGTGTGAGTATGTGAGTGAGTGTGTGAGTGAGTGAGTGTGTGAGTGAGTGAGTGTGTGAATGAGTGTGAGTGTGTGAGTGTGTGAGTGTGTGAGTGTGTGTGAGTGTGTGAGTGAGTGAGTGAGTGTGAGTGTGTGTGAGTGTGTGTGTGAGTGTGTGAGTGTGTGAGTGTGAGTGAGTGTGAGTGTGAGTGAGTGTGTGAGTGTGTGAGTGTGTGTGTGAGTGTGTGAGTGTGTGTGAGTGAGTGTGTGAGTGAGTGAGTGTGTGAGTGTGAGTGAGTGTGTGAGAGTGAGTGTGAGTGAGTGTGTGAGTGAGTGTGTGTGAGTGTGTGTGTGACGTCACCACGGTTGTTGTTGTGTGTGTGAGTGTGTGTGAGAGTGTGAGTGAGACTTTCTCATCTGCGCCGCGGGACTGCATCGTTACCTGGTTTACAAGCTGGGGGGGGGGGCGGTGGCGGGGGGCTCATACGCGAACTCAGGAGAGGCGGTGTAGGGGTGGGGGCCTGCTCCGCGTTAAACCAACTCGGAGCAAACGTGAACGGCGACAGCGGGTCCCGCGATGCTGCCGCTCATGTGAAACACCGCGCCAGGGATCGCGTGCTTTTGACTCTGCGAATTTAGAACTTGGGGGGGTGGGGGGGCTGAAGCTTCAGTAGGGGAAGGGGGGGGGTCAGGGTTCAGCTCACTTCAGCCCCCCAGATGCTGCGGGAGTGCTCTGCGTACACACAGCGTACACACGTGTCGCATTGCCTCTCCGGCCAGACGCAGCTGCCCGGTCTCCAATCTCCCCCTCGGCTAACCCGGCTACCACGGGGGTCCCGGATGGATGTGCCCCCCTCCCCGCGCCACCCCCCCCCCCCAGGAGCCTTCCTCTTCCCCTACATGGTGATGGTTGTGTTTGGGGGGGTCCCTCTCTTCTACATGGAGCTGGCGCTGGGGCAGTTCCACCGAACGGGAGCCATCTCGCTGTGGAGCAAGATCTGCCCCCTCTTCAAAGGTACGGGGACACGGGCGGGGAGCGGGGTGTCAGGACATTCGGGCACACAGCGGCAGCGTAGTGCACAGGCGTGGTCGTATACAGGTACGCCCGTCATATAGGTGTGCACACATATGGGGGTGCTGGTATACACGCGGGCCGGTATATAGGTACAGTACACATATGCCCATTTTCAGGTGTGGGGTCGTCCATAAATGACGTCATGCATATGGGGGGGGTCAGACATTTGTGACGATGTGTGACGGGGGGGTGGGGGTTGAGAAATGTGACGTCACATCAAAATGCGCAACTTTTAATAAATACAGACAACACGTTCTACTTAATTAAATAGACGTTTTAATAAATGTTTTCTCTTACAACATCAGAGTGCAGCGCCATATTAAATACGCACTACAATGACAATAGTTTAAAGAGATTTGAAGCATGTTTTATTTTGGGGGGGGAAGCTTTGTGACGTCATATTTGAGGGGGGGGGGTCTGACTTTTTGTGACGCCGTGTGACGAAGGGGGAGGGGGGTCAAAAATCGTCAAAAATCGCGTGACGTCATTTTTGGACGGCCCCTGTATCTGTATACAGGTGTGTCTGTGCGCAGCTGTATATATACAGGTGTTTGTCAACAGGTGTGCCTCTATACCCATGTGCTCGTATCTCGAGGTGCCCGTGTGCACGTGTCGCTCTCTGCTGTACCCCCCCCCGCCCCCCTAACACCCGGGATCCGACCCGCAACCCCCCGGCGCCAGGCGTGGGCTACGCGATCTGCGTGATGTCGCTCTACGTCGCCTTCTACTACAACACGGTGATCGCCTGGGCGCTGTTCTACCTCTACTCGAGCCTCACCGCGGAGCTGCCCTGGGCGCACTGCGACAACGCCTGGAACACTCCCCACTGCTCCGACTACTTCCTGCGCGACAACTCCACGTGGGGGGCGCACTCGCGATCGCCCGCCGAGGAGTTCTACACGTGAGCTGCGTCGGTGGGGGTGTGGGGGGGGGCGGGGTGTGGGGGGGGGCGGGGGGGGCAGACAGGGTGATACCGGAGTCACGTGTGGGACATGGGCGGGCGGGACGTGCGGGGGGCCACAGAACGCGTGGGACATGTGGCTCTTGACTCGGGTGCAAGCGCAACAAGCAAAAACATGAACAAGAAACATCTTAAAGTGACTTCACGCAACAGAAAAATCCAGGGAAAAACATCAAAGTCTTCCAGAAAAACACTGCGTTTCAACGCTGTGTACAAACATCCCAGTGGGATGCAAGTCAAACAATAACAAGCATAAGACAATTTTGATTACAGTTAACAGTCTAACTCTGTACTACAACAAACAAATATGGGTAAACCAAAACGTTTACGAACTCACCGAAATAAAGCGATAAAAACAATGTAACAGTGATCATAGGAACTGTGATTCAAATGTAACAATAAACGATATACACATAACATGTACGACCAAACTTTGCAGCCATAGCTGGCAGCATGAGTCCCTCCATAACAGCAGGAGTATCAGTTAGGAGTATCAACATTTTTCAATGCACAGCAGCGGACCATGCGTGGAACGCATCATCGCTACGACTACCATCACCAACATCATCACATCCCTTCCAAGACAACGATCCCCCGTGTAGCCCTATCAGACTGTTGAGCAGCACCTACGAAGGCCGGTGCCGCGCACGAGGGTTGGGTGACCAACACTACGCCTCCGATTAGCACGCTTGGCTACGTACGGTGCGAAAGAAGTCCATCGTATATCCCGACTGATAACACTGGTCAACAACAACAAAAACATATTTTTCTGGCCTGGACTTTTGCAGCTGTTTTAGACTAATTTCAGGGTGCTGATTCCAAATCTGATCTCAGATTTGCTCTATCACATCTCGTTTTTATGCTATCGGCATACCCCATTTTCATTGATTTTACCCGAAATTAACTCTGTCACTTATGATTGCAAGTTGTTGCGAGTCAGTGACTGCTTTAGTATATGGTGCTGTATTTTTAGGATAGTGTGTTTATAATATAATTTTATGTAGATATCCACATTTATTTTTTTTTTCTGCAGTTTTTTTTGAAAATGCAATATTTGATATCTCAAAAACCTGATGTGATAGACAAAAACTGTGTAGACCCGTGTAATATTTAAACATCGCACCAGCGACCTATTCGCATATTCACTGTCGCCGGTGTTGGCCGTGAGCGGAAATTGAACTCGGGTGACCGGGTTCGTAGCGGAGGGCGCTAATCACCGTGCCACCGCTCCCTCTTCCACGCGCCACACTCTACCACCATTACCACGGCCACCACCACCATCACGACCACCCCCACCACGGCCACCACCACCTCCACCACCACCACCCCCACCACCACGGCCACCACCACCGCCACCACCACCACCACGGCCACCACCACCACCCACATCACCACCACCACCATCACCCCCACCACCACCACCACGACCCCCCCCCCCCCCCACCACCCACATCACCACCACCACCACCCACATCACCACCACCACCACTACCACCACCACCACCACCACCACGGCCACCACCACCACCACCCCCACCACCATCACCACGGCCACCACCACCCCCACCACCACC